ACAGTGGAAAGTGCGTTGTGCATAGAGATCAACTTGAATTCCGGTTCCGTAGCCACCCCTCGTCGGCCTTACACAAATTTACCCTTTGTAAAGTCCCAGTTTCCTGACCTGTTACATATGGACTGTGTCTCCCAGTTTGGAGGGTTGGCGGAAGAACCAGTAAGATGGGAATATAAGGTTCCTTTAGTGTCGGGATCCTTAAGAAAGGTCAGTTACCACTCTTTTCCCCAGCTACAGTCCAAACGCACCAATGCTGTAAGTCTGCCTCACAGATCCTGATCCTCTGGTTTGGGGCAAGCCTAGGCAAGTTGGAATTAGTGCTCAGGTGAAGCTGAAGGCCGTGTTTTGGATGGCAAGATGGTAAAAGGTGTTTGCAACTGCAGATGTTCGATTTGCCTCACTAGAGTTGTCCAATACAGTCTGCACAGTAGAAACTCCCAGGAGAGTTGGCAAAGGGTGTCTGCTCTACTCCTATGAGTACTACTTCTGAAGAAGCCAAATTGGGATTTGAGTGTTTTAAAAAGCCTTTGCTATGGTTTGGTTATGTGTTCCTCAAAGGTTCCTGTGCTGGCCCTTAGCCTCCAGGGCAGTGGTGTCACCTTGGTGGGAGCTTTAAAAGGTGGGGCCCAGAGGAAGGTAATCAAAGCTGGAGATTCCACACTAGTGAGTAGACAACATCTGTCTCTGAAGAGTGGGTGATTATAATGGGATGCCACCTCAAGTCTATGGCCTTCTTCACCCTGTTGGGACACAGGCAGAACTGGATGGTTGCACCGAGCTTCCTGGACCCTTCAGCACCAGAATGTTGAGCCTCACTGTAAGGTTCCCGAGTCAGGCAGGCTGAGGCCTTCTGCTTGGTTACTCTGATGTGCAAAAGCCTTGAGGGGGAACTCTTCACAGACTTGATGATGGGTGTTTTCATTTCCTTTGTCAAACGAAATGGCACAAAAAGCCCAAGGCGAGAGTATTTCAAAGGTATGCTGTACCTCCTAATCCACCCATTTTTTTTAAAAAAAAATGTGAATTTATTAATACCAAGAACAGGAAGAACAAAGGAGGAGGAAGGAGAGAATATAAAAATTATTACTCACATATGTGCCAAGACCAAGGAAAGCGCTTTAAAAATCTGTGATCTTTTCAGTTCGCACAAAAGGCCTCCAGCATTTTCCATCATGGCAAAAGTGAGGCTCAGACAAGTCAGTTCTCTAAAATAACGTGTGATGTGCAGAGCCAGTTCATGCATGGCCTACGTTTAGTTACAGCAATAAAGCCCGACGTGATGGCCAAAATAGCAAAATCTTGGCATCTGGCTCTGAAGTGCTGTTTTTTTTGGTGGCCTTGTTGTCGTTGTTTGTTTGTTTGTTGGATGCTATGTGGAAATTCACATGACTTATGCTAAACTGTGTCCACTGTCCTGTGCTTGTCAAATGGCGTTCACGGAGGTGTGACACATTTCAGAAGAAAGCGTCCTCTCCCGGTGCAGTCTGAAACTCGTTCGAACGTCGGAGCGCAGGAGTAGGAAGGAAATTGTGCATCTGCACTGTACTAGTGGGAGCTACACGTGGTAGTGGCTTCAGTCTATATAAAAATCATCTTAACAGATTTTTCCTGGTGGCACGCAGAGAAGACTGGCCATCCCAGTCCAGAGCTCAGTTCTCATGAGGGCTCCCTGTTCTCAGAGTCCAGGGGAGGCCTGACCATGGTTATAAAATGCTGTCTGGTTGTATGAGTGGGCATGTCCCGTGGAACTGTAACAGCCCGGGCCACCTTGATTCGCAAAGAAGAATATAAAGAATAGAGACCCAGATAATTCTAAGGCCATTTCCTGATGAGTACTCAAGCCCAAGACTTTGTACATCTTGGAAGGTATAATTGAGTCAAAATTAGTCAAAATAACAACCCTCAGTATTTCTGAGGCATTCTAACACATGATTTATATTGGTTAATTGCCCTTGCCTCTTATGAAGGCTGGTCTCCAAATGCCACCTGTCTGAAGGTAAAACATTTTCCTTCTAAAGCTGGAGGTATCTACTCTACATGGAGGAGGGGAAGGTTGAAAAGAAAAGAGAAGCCACATGTTTGTAAAACGCAGGGCAGGCTGTGATGGGGAAGTTCTGATGTGATGGGGGAGTTCCAGAGGAAGTACAGACGGTCTGTCTCTCATGAGAAGAAAGTGCAGCGTGGCCTGGGGTGTTGCAGTTCCGTAGCTGTCAAGTCCCTAAAGCTTGTGGTTTCAGCATGCAGTGCATGGAGTCTCCAAAATGGAATCACACAGGAATTCCTGAACGACAGCATCCTTTTACACAATACGCTCCTGGGGTCTTCTCGGCCTGATCCGGCAAGGGCGTGCGTGATTAGCAATGTTTGGCAAAGGAGCACACACCTTAGAGCCTTTCTCCTGGCCTCAGGCTGCACAAACAGATGCTGGTCGTGTGTGCACCGTCTCTGTGCCACGGATCTCCGTAGAAAGTACATTCATGTGCTTGCTGTAGTGAAGGCAGAGAACTGAGGGAATAAACTCGCCAGCCACTTCTGGTAAGGAGCATTTGGGCGTATCACTATCCAATATGTTGGATGCTAGCCAAGAATTGCTGATTCGTGTGATCTCTTGCAAAATGCACCTTGTGGTGAGAAGTTAAATATAGCCAGGCTCGTAATCTTTTCCTTCACTACTCTCCCCTTTGCCTCCCCTGATTCTCCATAGCTGAGACCAAGGTGCTAGATACTAGGAAAAAAAAAATACCAAAGCAAACTTAATCTTATCATTAACTTCTAAGGTTTGAAGGATATCAGGAGGAAAAACTTGGATCAGAAGATACTTTTAAGCTGAGTATGGTACCATACCCTGGCCACCCCAGCACCCCAGAGGCTGAGGCAGGAGGGACTTGAGTCCAAGACCATATGGGGCCAGGCAGCAAGGCCCTGTCTCACAAGCAAAGACAATCTAAGGAGAATGGCAGTGTGAATCACCAGCCAGCAGGAAACACAAATTCCTCATCCTATAGAGTCAGGTCAGGGAATGGACAGCCACCCTGGTTAACTAAGATCCTAGTTCACCACAGCTGTGCTGCGCTCCTAGCACCTGAGGGCCTAGGAGGCTGAAGCAGGAGTCCAAGGTAAAAGCCGGTCTGGACTACATAATGAGACCCTGTCAGTGAAAGGAAGCAAAGAGGGAAAGGAGGGAGGAAGAGAGAGAAGGGAGGAAAGAAGGGAGAGAGGAAAGGAGGGACAGGAAATCCTGGCTAATAAAGAATGTGTGCCCATCCCATAGATGGATTATTACTTTCCCAAGCATTAATCCATCGCCTGGAAGAACGCTTTCTGAGTGCCTGTTAGCTGACAGACAGGGGTGGTACATGTGTTTCACCTTGTCCAAGTTCTCCCACAGAACCAAGAGATAGATACTAACCTCATTAAAAGAAAACGGACAGACTCATGGAAGTTCAGTGCCAGGCCCCTCTCAAAGGCTCCTAACTGATCTGGACACTGTTGGGATTTGAGCCCCAGCTCACCTATCCCCACAACTATTTGATGATCAGATTATTTGATTGTATGGATGGACGAGAGATCTATTGACTATAATTCGATCCAGTCTTGTGCAGTGATTCAGACATGATTTTAAGACCTTTCCATACCTCCATCGTGAGGGTACCCATTCAATACTGGTGGATACAGCTTATAGTTTCACACATCCTGTATACACAGAGACTGCCTTCCCTGTTTGTGCTACAGGGGTATTTAAATTAACTCAGCTTTTAAAATACAAGGTTGCCTGTATAGGCAGAAATCCAGTAAAAGGCTAGTAAAACAGAGGCTGGGTACAAAACCAAATACTTTTAAGTTCTCTGCAGGTGCTATTCTTCGTGAGGGCTCCCTGCCTTCAGGAAAAGAACCATCCATTCTAAAGAGTAAGCGTCTGGTTAGAAAACATAGCTGAAGGACTGGAATCAAATTTCTCCAAATTCAGCTCCCTTTAGCCTTCGGTTCTTCCCCCCATGAAATAGCCTTGCATATCTCTGGTGAGATGTGTCTCATGCTCTGGGAAATGCTGAGAATAGAAGCTACAGCTTTTCCAGTCCAGCGCCAATGAGCCCTGAACTGCAACCATATTAACTCTAACTCCTGTATTCCCTGGACAAAATTATAAAATCCTAATGACAATACATTCAGGTCAAGATTACAGTATTAAATAATACAGTTATAAAGTACTGTCCGTGAAACTTGGCCTGTAGTAGTTACACATAGTTCCATTTTTTTCCTTTGACTTTATTGATCCAAAATAGTGACTATCTGTAGTGGGTTCGTATGACGTGGTGATTACCAGTCAAAGAGGGAGACATACTGCAGTGGCCTTAGCTGTGAGCTCTTAGGCAGGTAGGTTAGCCTCTCTGTGCCTCATTGCATTTTCAAAAGGGCAGCAGCAATGTGCCCATCTCACTGGCTTCCAGGGGGGACTAAATGAGATGCTGTTGTATTTAAGAGCTCTGTAAGAGTTGGGTGTTGTTACTATCCCTGGCTGGAGGTGGTGATATTTGGCAGAGATAGGTAAAAATTGATTTCATATGAAGTAAAGACAATCAGCCCAGATGATAAGATATAATGACAATCAATAAAATGGAAGTGGCCCTCGATGGTGGGACAGCCTATGGCCTCACAAGAGGAATGCCCTGGACTGACGGCAGGCTCTGAGGTGGGAGATGTTGGGATGAGCAGGCCCGTCATCAGAAGCTCCTGCTGGGGTATTCAGGAGAAGCAGGAGTGTGTGTGTGTGTGGGGGGGGGGAGCTGAGTGGCTGGGAATGTTCAGAGAAGAAAACTGCCTCAGCGAGCTGAGACAAGAACGCCACTGTCTCATTACGGGATGCGGGAAGGGAAGTGAAGAGTCATGCAGAAAGCCCAGAGAAAGACAGGGGTCTCCCGGAGGATGATGGAGGGGCGGAGCTCCCATTCTAGAAGAGCTGGGATGTGACAGGATTCGAGCAAGCTGTCTTTCCCTTTCAGCTTTATTCACGGTGACGGTCCCCAAGGAAGTGTACACGGTAGAGTTTGGCAGCAACGCGAGCCTGGAGTGTGATTTCGACCACCGGGAATGCACGGAACTTGAAGTCAGTTTGCAGAAGGTAGAAAACGATACCTCTTCGCCGAGTGAGAGAGCCACCCTCCTGGAGGAGGTGCTGCCCCTGGGGAAGGCCTTGTTCCACATCCCCAGTGTCCGAGTGAGGGATGCAGGACAGTACCGCTGTCTGGTCATCTGCGGGGCCGCCTGGGACTACAAGTACCTGACAGTGAAAGTCAAAGGTGGGTGTTTGCAGGTCTTCGCTGGCGGAGGGTTGTGACGGCTGCACGCCATAGCATGCTGCTCTCAGTAGCTCAGTTGAAAGAGGATGCAGTTGGTTGTTTTTTTACCCTTTTGGCTCTTTGCTCTTTTGAGGAGCCCACCACTCAGCTCTCATATAAATCACACACATGGAGGCTTATTCTTACTTAAGAATGCCTGGACTTGGCTTGCCTTATTTTTAGCCAGTTTTTGTTAAACTAACCTGTCTACCTTTTGCCTCTTTATTTTATATACCTTTCTTCACTTCTTACTCCGTGGCTGCCCCATGATATCCTCCTCCCCCTCCTCTCACTCCTCGATCTCTTCTTCCCAGAATTCCCCTATTCCCTTTACCTGGCAGCTCACCTATGCTTTCTCCTGCCCTGCTATTGGCTGTTCAGCTCTTTATTAGACCAATCAGGTGTTTTAGACAGACAAAGTAACACAGCTTCACAGAGTTAAACAAATGCAACATAAACGAAAACAACATATCTTTACATCGTTAAACAAATATTCCTCGGCATAAACAAACACATCTTCAGCTAATGTTCCACAACAGAGGCAGCTACTTCAAAGCGGGCAGAAAAGGCACCTGAATGGAAATATATTTTGATATCTGCTGTAAGTATAGGTAAAGGGGTTAAAGTAGCAGACACAGTGGGGCTAGAGGAAGCCAGGCAAATGAGAGGACAGCCTGCCTCATCCTCGGCTGGACTCAGACCCCTCTTGTGTGGGAAGCAATGGTCGTCATGGAGGGACCTGTTGATTCCCACAGACTCTAAGAGAAACATATGTAGGCGTGTCAAGGTCTTCACGGTCCCCGATCTCTTTCCGAAACTGATGAACCTGAGAACGTACCAGCCAGACAAAGCTTTTAGGGTTACCCTGAAACACCCCATCTTTCTACTGCTTTCTCCTTCTTCATGAAAGGCCTGCCTCCTTTCATCTGTTGCCCCAAGGCTTAAAAGCTCCACAGCGCCAGACAAGAGTAAAAAGGAACCACCAGGGCCCACAGAGCCACGTGGCGGCTGCCTGCTACATGGCAGCTAACAAACGCTTTGCTTCCAGCAAAACTGAAGGATGATGAGGACCCTCATGTAGAGATAACCACTGATGATCAAAAATTAGCGGTCTTTGCCTGATGAACCGTGTCTTTCAAATTGCTTCCAATTCCTACCAGCTGATTCATGTGAACAAGGATTCATTAGTCCTTTTAGCTGCAAAAATTAAAAATACAAATAAAATTATTGTTGACTTCTACCTCATGGTAGAATAGTTTTAAACTTAATCTATATGCATTTTAAGATCGATGAATAACTTGAATGATACATTTCCAATACACTTTTATTTTTCCCACACTTAATAATTGCCAGTATCCAGAATAGTTTACATTTTGATAATATGGGTTGATAATAGTAATGAAATCACATTATAGAAGAAAACTTTGGACACCTGGAATCCCATAGTAAAAAGGAAAAAATTAATTTCAAAAGCTATATATATTTTGTTAAGTGTAAGACAGTTAAGGATGATAAATCAGAGACTATCAGATATATAAGTGTATTTGTAAGAATGAAGCAATTATTTGTTGAAAATATAAATATTTATAGAATCCTAAATACATATTTTCTTTAATATAGAAGCTTATGAAAAAGTCTAAGAATCAAACTGACACACAAGAAAATTAAGACACACAACTGCCATGATTTTCATCAGAGGAGTGTAAGCAGAGTGCAGTGTTAAAGACCAACACACGAAAGTAACTTACTGGGATGCAGAATCTCAGATCTGGGGCAGGGGAAGGATTCTACAAATGAAGTATAAGTAGAGGAAGGGTTAGTTTTCCTTTTAAATCTGGGGGATAGATCTGGACCATAGGTGTGTGACACCTTTCTCCACACAGCGATTCGTATTAAGTTTAGGGGAAAGTGTTGATTTCAAAAGCATAGAAAAAGGTTGCAGCAGACCGAAGAAAAGATCCAGAAGAGACAATGACTTCGGGAAAGCCAGGCTGAAGCCGTGTAACTAAGAGTCTATGACGGCAGGAGAGCGGCTGAAGCAGAGTAAGGTACACAGAGAAAGCAATGGGTGAACTAATGGAGCCAAGCCTCTTCCCTCTGCTCCTTTCCCCTCGGGGAACAAAGGAATAAGCCTGTTGGAGTCAAGAACGCAATGTCCCGACTTTCCAAGAGGTCAAGCTTCTGGAATTACAGTCTGACCCTATATTATTCTGCAGGCTGCTTAATGGCAGATTGAAAACAATCATCAAAGATTTATTTCAGTGATTTGAAGTTTTCCTGGAACCTCTAAGACAAAACACATAAGAACTACGTTTTCCATTTCATTTGCAGTCACTGTAATGATTAAGATAATAATGCTGTATGCACAGTTTGTTCTTATCTCACAAGTGGTATGGAGGCTGAGAGACGGGGTCAGGGCACTTACTGTGCAAGTGTAAGGATCTGAGTTCAAATTCACAGCTCCCACGTTAAGAACAACGCAGACCTGTGTCCTCAACTCACTGGCCAGTCAGCCCAGCCAAAACCGTGAACATCAAGTTAGGGAGAGACCCCGTCTCAAGGGAATAGAGTGGAGAACAAGAAAGATGATCAGGGTTTTCTTCTGATTGTCACATTGTCGTGTCCACCCTCACACACACACGCTTACAGAAACATACACCATATATGCCGCATACACCACATTTCCCCCAACACAGGCATACCCACCTGCACATGCACAGGCTTACAGAAACATACACCATATATGCCGCATACACCACATTCTCCCAACACGGGCATACCCACCTGCACACCCATGCACACAGGAACATATACCACATATCCTTCCCCCAACACGCACATACCAGAGATATAAAAACCATGAAATCTGTAGAAATCTAAAGTAGAAAGTATTCCTCCTTTTAATGTTAGAGACTGAAATGTCAACAAGGGACCAGGGGAATAGTCACATTGGCAATAGCACCAAAGAAGAAATAAAGGAAAAAGTCGGTCCTGTGGAACCCCCGGAATCATCACTTGACAGACTCTTCGGTGAGAGCTGGTGCCAGGAATGAGATGGTTCTGCTGCTAGAGACACCATCAGAGCAGAGATGGAGGGAAATGTCCTTTAATTAATAATTAGTTTAAGCTGAGAGTTTGGAAGATCATGTCACCAGCCCTTGGCTAATGCCTTTCAGATTCTCAAGACCAGGTTCTTAGCCACGGGGCTTATTATGTCTCTTACTCAGCCAGACAAGTGTCCGTGAGATGATACTGAAGACATGAGAATGAGCTTCCCAGTGGATGTTTGGTTACTTATTGTGCTCATGACAAAGACATCCTCTGGGGGACGTCGGAGCTTCTACTTATAGAAGTAGTTAACTACGAGTTAGGTAGCTAACCGATTGCCAGTATGAGAAAAATAGACATATCTTTGCTAGAGATAAAAGGTGGTGTTTTCGCTTGGTCTAGTCACAATGGAAATCAGAATAAAGGTTCCCCAGAAAACTAAGAATAGTACTATCGTTAGATCCAGCTATAGTACTCCTGAGTATACATTCAAAGAACTCTAAGTCAGAGCACTGTAAAAATACCCACCGTGATTATTGTAGCACAACTCACAGTAGCCAAGTCACAGTCTGGTTGCCCCCAACAGATGAATGCACAGAGAAAATGTAGTATACGTGTTTAATGGAGTATCCGGCTATAACGAAGAACAAACCCTGTCGTTTAAAGAAAAATGACTGGAACTGGAAATCATTGTGTAAAGAGACATAACGGAGACTGGGGAAGAAATGCATCGCATGTTTGGTCTCATCTGTGGAATCTAAGGGGAAAGGGGACTGCCAGAGGAGAGGACACGGTGGAGATGGGGGAACATCACTAAGGGTAATGGAGGGGTGACTGTCATCCAAGAACAGTTAATGCATGTATGAAGATCTCAATACGATCTATATACAGTTTTTGTATGCCATACAAAGGATGGCAGGATCTTTAAAAGGCCACATTTCACAATGATAAGCATCAGCTCTATAGAGAGAAATGACTTCTAAATGTGTGTGCCTCTGACAGTATACTTCCATCACATTAAACATAGACCGGGCAGTTGGCTAGTCCTCCCTTGGAGCCCCCGCACAGTTGGCTAGTCCTCCCTTGGAGCCCCCGCACAGTTGGCTAGTCCTCCCTTGGAGCCCCCACTCTCAGTTATTTTTTTACTTTTTCTTTTAAATTATTTTCATATTTTGAGATTATAATTATATCATTTCAACCTTCCTTTTCATCTCACCCACCCATATACTCGTCTTTTTCAAAGTCATGTCCTCTTTTTTCATTGTTGCTACATATGTGTGTGTGTGTATACATATAGATCTCTGCATACACGAATACAACCTGCTTAGGCTGTACAATGTCACATGTGTGTTTCCAGGGATTTCCAGGGATTGGATAACCAGTTCGTGTTCTCTTCCTTGGGGACAACTTTCTTCCACTCTCGGCATTCCTTAGTTGCCTGTAGCTCTTTGTGTAAGGTTGAGGCCTCCTAGGCTTTGTCTTAATAAATCTCAGTTCTTCGTTCAAAAACAATTGCAAGACAAAATGGAGAAGATGACAGCGATAATGACAAATACGTGTATATGTGAACTTTTGATTCGTCCCCGCTGTAACAGATAGGATAAACTATGCAATGGAAGACTTGAACAACACACTAAACCGTCCTGACCTAATTGATGTGTCTAGAACACCAATCGCAGATTACCTGTTGCTTCTAGGTTCATGTCTAACACCGACCGAGGTAGTTACCTAGCAAAGTTGCTAGAACAGACACTTCATTGAGCAGGAAGTTGGAACTCTTCAACTTTTAAAACTGCTTCCACCACTGAAACTCTAAAATTTGTTCATCTTTTTCTCAAGAAAAGTCTGGCTTCCCTATTATGCATTGTTGGGGATGATGCCTCTATAGCCGCTTCCCACATGAAAACGAGGCTGTGGTAGCATCTTTGACGGTTTAAGGAACTGTCTTATCATAGCCGTTCGCTGTCACTGCTCAGCGTTGTGACACAGCATCTGACGTGAACAACTTAGGGAGGGTCGGCTTATTTGAGCTCCTGCTGTCAGCGGTCCCAGGCCATCATGTGCAGGAGGGTAGAGCACACCAGAACTCCCGTCACGGCTTGCTTTCTCTTTACTTTATCTGGGTCCCCAGCCCATGGGATGGTGCCGCCCGTGTTCAAGGTAGATCTTCCCGCCCGCTAGTTAATTCTCTCTGAAGAAGTCCTCACAGACACACCCCTGGGCATGGTTACCAATATCCTAGGAACTTCTCGTCCAATCAAGTTGACAAGATTAACCACCCCAACAACTGTTTTTACTTCAAGATTGCTTTTGCTTCAACGATTTACTGAACATCTATTTAAGGAACTAGTTCCCATTTAATAAAAGCCAGTGCTTGCCTTCCCCCTCATCACCAAAAAGTGCACAGTTTATTGTCAACACTTCCAGCTATATACATGTGGTGTTACTATTTGTTACTTTCCAGATATGGCCTAAGATTGCTGGGTAGTCTTTGTGCCTTCCTCGCCCTCCAAATATCTCCTTTTAGTTTCAGATATCCATGCTCTAGAAAGTAGGGAATCTCATGTGAATAATTCATTCAGCATATACTGCTCAGAACATGTCTGTATTGAGAAGTAATAATAAATATGCCCAACTCTTAATTATTACAACTCATACATAGATCCTGATTTTCCTCTTCCTAATCTCAAAGATAACCGAGGGAAAGGGGAATTTTGAGTAAACTGTCTACTGGTGGTGTCTGAAAAAGTGATCTATTGGAGTTATTTAGTGGTAATCATGTCTCCGTCTTCCAGCCTCTCTCCACCCCTAGATTATGGGACAGTCTAGAATACAAGAAGCTGCAGAGTATGGCATCTTAGCATAGTTTGTAAGATATAAATATGCAGCCCTCCTATTTTCAAGCATTGGGTCTACCAGGCTTTGTTCTTCTGACTTTGAACACCATTCTCAACATAACATACCTGTCATCAATTAACCCCAACAAACGTTGGAGATATCAGTAAAGCATCTTCATTGCATTATATAAATTAAACTATTCAGTCTATGCAAAATAATGTATCTGGGACATAAAAAGTATTTTTAAAGTGTTATATATATATACATATATATTACCTAAGGTCATAGTGATCATTTTATTCCTCTTGCATTGAGTAGATTGCATTCTACAGCAATCAGAATAAAACTTCCTTTTCCCCCTATTTTCCAGCTTCTTACAAGAAGATAGACACTCGGATCCTAGAGGTCCCAGGGACAGACGAGGTGCAGCTCACCTGCCAGGCTAGAGGTTACCCCCTGGCTGAAGTGTCCTGGCAAAATGTCAGTGTTCCTGCCAACACCAGCCACATTAGGACCCCTGAAGGCCTCTACCAGGTCACCAGTGTTCTGCACTTAAAGTCACAGCCTGGCAGAAACTTCAGCTGCATGTTCTGGAACGCTCCCATGCAGGAGCTCACTTCAGCCATCCTTGGTCCTCTGGGTAAGTGCAGTACCCATTTCCTAGCCCTGCAATCAGAGTTCAGGTGAGAAACAGGTAAGAAGGTGGTATAGATCCTTCAAGAGGTCAAGGTAGAATATGGAAGAGTTACAAGGATAGACAGGAAAAAGATCTCTATTGAGCAAGAGTCTTCACTGTTGGAGAGGTTACCGGGAGAAGGTAGCTGTGGGGACAAACTTGTTGCAGTGCCGAATCTGAGCAGCTTCCAGGGAAGTCTGTGAATGGCAGACTCCCCAACCATACCTCAGGGCCTCCATTATGATGCTGGTATCTCCCATTGGCTGAACCGGGCAGGAGGTTGGAGAACAAAGACATCTTTCCATAGGTTTCTTCCAGATAGGTCAACATCTGGATCTCAGAGCATTGTGTTACAGAGCATAGCGTTACAGTGTAGAAAACAGTATGGAGACGCAGTAGAAATATCCCACGTGAATCATGTCCAGATCAGCCAATGAATAGCATGGGCGTTGTTCTGGCTGTATTGCTGGCTAATTGGGTATGTGGCATCCCTGAGAAACTGATCTCTTACAAAAAATCATTCGGTCTGACTGGCTAGTTTTAGAAGTGGACTTCATCCTTTTGAATTTCCGCACCAGCAAAATTTGAACCTTTTGGACAAACCAGTAACTTTTTGTGCCAGGTATGAACATTCATTTGATAACTACAAGCTATCCACTAGGAAAACAACCATTTCATAAGAGACAGAATTTTTTTTCCACCATGTATGTAGTTCTTACTGCTCCCATATCAAATTGCCACAAATGTAAAGGTTCAAAACAATAAAACTTTATTATCTTACAACTTCTAAGGGGTTTGAAGTTTAACACAGGTTTCACTGAGTTCTAGTAGAGGATCAGAGATGTTCTAGGAGATACTGCATTTTCTTGCCCTTCCCGACTCCATCGTCTATATCACTTGGCTTGTGACTGGTTCCTGCATCTTCAAAGACAAGAGTCACATCACCCAGCCCTCTGCCCCTTTTTATCGGACCCCCCTCTTTCTCTTGAGCCTTGGGCTTTATTAGATACTTCTATCTATGAGTCCAAATGGGTTGCGATTTTGTTGCTGCAGAAATCTAAAGGATGAGATTCACTTTCAGAACTAGCTAGCATGGCCAATCAAGTTCTGAATCATTGAATAAGAGACTGACTTTCTTGGAAATGTCACCCACCCAAGCCAGTGTACTGGCACCACAGCCAGCAAAACGACAGAGCTCCTGCTCACTTACAGCTCTGAAAAATGCTTCCAGCAGAAAATGCCCGCTTGGTCACTGTTGGGCAGAAGGGAAAACCCGCTCTGTCCTGGCAGCATTGTCAAGAGGATCATTGATCAGCAGCGATCCTCTCGCCTGGGCCTCAGGTGCTTTTCTACTTTTTTTCAGAGAATGCTAGTTTCCAGTTCTTCAGTTATATGAATCATTGGTTGGAAGGAAACGTAATTATGAAAGGAGTAAACTTTCTCTTTCTTCTTCTCTGGGGTTACTTAGAGCAGGCAGGGGAGGGGGAGCAGAGAGAATGCTCACCACAGGGAACTAGCTCCCATTCCTGTGTTTCTTCCGCTTAGATAGAGGGTTCCTCCCCCTCCCAGTGAGCAGCCCAGCCTATCTCCACCTCAGCACAGGGACTGATCTTGACTGCCTGAACAGGAATTGAGCTAGTGTTCTTCCTCCTGGAGTGGGACAGGTGGAGGACTTCTTTGGGTGGGCAGATGTCTGGGGGCAGCCTGGCAGATCCGAAAGGATTCAGGTATTCAGCAGGAGGGGACACCGGTCTTAAGCCAGGGAGAACTGACCCAAGAGAAAGCAACCGGTCAGTACGGGAAACAGAACGGACAGAAAACTCATAGAAAGACAGACAGACAGACAGACAGACAGACACACACACACACAGCAAAGACAACCAGGAGTAACGACTGCACATTCATAAACCTGACGGGATGGGGACTTAAGGAACGCCTCACGTGATTCACTGGATCAGCCGCAGCATCTGTTCACCCTCTCTTACGTGTAAGGGCATAAGGTGCCTTCACCAGTCTTACCTCCTGAAGTCCCAGACCAGGTGACTTTCTAATTTGTTTCCCTTTGAGGTGGAGATGTCAGACTCCTCCAACGCATTAGGCATCGATTGACCGAAGGGGGCCCTAGGGACCCCAGATTCGGGTTTTGCACCCAGAGGAGTCCCCTGAGGACAGCGCTCTTCCTCATTCCAAGGAGCTTGGAGACCCCAGGTATCTTGAGGTCTGGTCTCTGGGACCTCCAGAAGTGGTGTGGTATATCCACCAGCGAAGACTGATCAGACGTGGGCTTAAGCCAATAGAAATTCTTTATTAGCCAGTTGGCCGCTAAGCTGGGTGTTTAAGATCCCAGTGTAGCCTTGAGCCTTTTGCAGGGTGAGTTTTTAAAAAACAAAACTATACTCTGGGTTGACATACTTCAGTTAACAAGAGCAGTTAGCCAGAAGCAGAACTACAGAAGCCAAAAACCAAGGTTAATACATTTAGAGACTTTCCCAAAACTGTGGACTTGGATGGATCAGGTTTTTGTTTTCCTTTTGGCAGGTGGTAATGTCTACGTGCTGAGTTTTATGGCCTGGCTGGTACTTCCATTATGGAGTCAGCTGTGCTAAGGTCTGGGGTCTGTTACAATATCTGTCTCACTTCCATACCTTCTGCTGTAAGTTCCTTTCCCACAAAACATTATTTGCCAGGCCCCCGCCTATCCTGCCTCTAAGTCAGCTCACCCTGCCCATCAAGATCTTTTTATCCACATCACTTTCTTAAGATCTTTTATCCGCATCACCAGCTTGTTTTCCTCTGACCGTGTGTTATCTTTTCCCATTTTTTTATGTGTATTGTCCATGTGTTTTAATCGTTCACACGGATCTCCTTTACGTCCAGACCAGAATGAAAGCTGATTGTTTTGCCCATGAGGAGCGCTTGGTGAATGCTGCGGTGTTAGGTGGCAAACACCATCTTGAAGACCCCAGCTCCCTCATCTCAGGCCCTCGTCTGTGTAGACAGTTAGGTCACAGACAATGCCCTGGTGTGTGACACACAACAACAGCAGCGGGATAACCACAGTCACGCATACCCCCCCCCCCAAGGGATCCTGGCTTCTACTTCTTAAAGGCAGTGTCTGCTGACTTAGAACTCTCCTGTTTCTACTCATTCTCATAAACCAAGCGGTTCCCCCACTGCTGACCGCTGTGGACCACGTCAGACTTCTCCAGAAGTCAGCTAATACAACGATGCAGAAATGAGAGTTCGGGGGTGGGAGGATGGATGCCTACCACTCGGGACAGAAGGATGAACATACTGAATCTTGGCCAGAAGTTACAGAGTTCTCGGGTCATCTTCCTTCAGACACAGGGGCTTTCCTCAGCCAGCTGCTACATTTCCATTGGGAAATGTAACCGGGCTAGATTATGAGGAACTGTTAACTACCAGGTGGGGCTGGCAGAAAAGTCCTCCTGGCACATCTGGAAGAGAATTGAGGCAGCAGAAAAGAACGTGGACTCTGAAAGCAGACAAATTTGAAATGCTGCTTCTGCTGCCTCTTGGCTTCAGAACATGAGCATCCTGCGGGGCTGTCCTCACACACAGTCTCCCAGGGACACAACCAGAGTAAATGATGATATGTTTGTTAAAACGTTTCTGTGAGACTAAAGGGTGCAATGCAGGAAAACTATGTCAAGCAAGATTCCTGGCTTCTTTCTGAGCACCCAGGACTGTGGTAAGAATAGGACAGATGTTTTTCCCATTGCTCATCTTACCATTGTTGAAGAGAAGGCAGCTCTCTTAAAATAGCATAGGCAACCGTGTAGGCCAAGCTGACATCATGAAGAGGTAAACATGCGGTGACTCAAAGCAGCCGTGTGGTTTTCCACTGCCTAATACTCGGAGATAGAAATTGATCTAAGAGCTAAATGACTACGTTCGGTGAGACATTCAGTGACCCAGGTTATTTCCATCTTGCTACTTTGCCATTCTCCTGGACAGTGTCCCTGCCGACTCGTCAGAGCAGGGCCGTTGCCAAATCCACGTTTCTGCTTTCAGAGAGGAAGGAGCGGCGTTTTACAGTCAAGTTCCAGAAGACCCATTCTTGATCTGACCTTAGTTTATGTTCCTGACTCCACCTAAGTGCTGGTCTCTGGGTCTGGAAAAGCATCTTTGGGAACCATATCTAGTAATAGCCTAGCCCTGGGAGGGAGGGAGGGAGGGAGGGAGGGAGGGAG